CTGTAAGAATATTACTTGAGTAAAAGTCGTAAAGTATCTGATATTTTTGTACTTAAGTATCAAAAGAAAATTTCTGATATAAAATCTACTTAAATTTTAAAAGTAAAAGTATTGGGTAAAGTGAGCAGTTAGATTTTCCAAAATGACATTTATTGGGAGGTGACTTCTCCAAAAAACATTTTTGTGTACAAGCTAATAGGGTGTCAGAATGGTATATATTTATACTTCTCATCCAACCACAATTAAATTCACTCTATCCAGAGACAATTTATCAGGATAGTATTTTTAAGTAATAACTCAGAAAAAAAATAGGAGTAATGACTTTCTACTTCTTCCCTTTTTAAAAAATGTAAGAAGTAGAAAGTACAGATAATTGTGTAAAAAGGGAGTAAAAGTAAAAAGTAGGCTGAAAAATAATTACTCAAGTACAGTACAGACAACCAAAATTTCTACTTAAGTACAGTAACGAAGTATTTGTACTTAGTTACTTTACAACTCTGTTAATCCGTTGAGAAGTATTCCACCTATTCTATTACCTGTTTCCACTACAAGACGCAGTCATATTCAAAGTCATCCCAAAYCAGACTTTACTACTTTCTCCCAACTTTTGTTGTCGTCATTTTGTAGGTGAGCGCTGAGCGGCAGCAGACTGTGAACAGGTGACGTTACGGACCGTGATAAGCTGCCCACAGTTGATGTGAAACTGCTCAATTTGAAGGAAAAACAACCAAACAAACAAAAAGATTAGTTTAACCAGTCCACGCAGCTCAAAATAAATAGACAAACACAAAAACTAGGGATATTCTATCATTTCAGTAACTTTTAGTTAGTTTTGAAAGAAGATTATACAGTTTTAGTTAGTTATCGTTTTATTTTTTCCATATTTCAGTTAACTAAAATGTTTTCTTTTTCAATTTCAGTTTTTGTTATTTAGTTAGTTTCAGTTAACTATAATAAGCCTGCTTCAAACCCCAAAGACTGGAACTCATCACCAGAGCGGAAACCACGATGGATTCTCTGTAACAATGTGCAAAACCTCAGCGACGTGTTTATTTTAAAACCGCAAAACTCAAATGACTAACAGCCTCCTCCTCCTGTGTAATCATCAACTTTCATCCTCAATAATGGCAGGAAAATGAGCCGAGTCATGCTGAGGGCTCTTAGGGCGCAGGAAGCACAAAAACATTGTTTTTAATATCTCGGCACCAGAGAGAAATCTCTTTTATTGTGTTTTTAATTAAATACAAGTACATGAGATTCTGCAAGAGAAAAAAACATATTAGGGATCAATGGCACGAGATATTTTGGCAACCCTTCCTGCCAACACCAAATAACTGCTTTGCTTCAAAGCATCTCAAGCAAAGAGGTTTAGCTTTTCCATCACGGAGGACCTGATTTAATCCGAGTTACTAAAGAGCTAAATATGAGCRGAGAGGGAAGCCGACATTCCCAGACACTCTTCATTAGGCCGAATTAAACGTAAACAGTGTTTTATTGACATGAACGTTTGGCTCAAACCTGCTCACCCAGACGCAGAGACGTCCAAAACAACAATCAGGTRTTAATGCTAATCCTGCAGCCTCAAAAATAATAAGTAGGCAATGATTACAGCAGACTCCCTGAAGGATGAAAGTGTAATCTTGATGCGTGTCCAGCAGCAGATTTACCCAGATACATATACGGACRTCCGTATATATT